AAAAAAAAAAAAAAAAAAACTTGTGCCAGCAAGATGGGTAACCTTAACGTTATTAGAAAAAAAAAATCTTACCCTTTAGCCTTATGGAATATATCAAATATTCGAATTGAATAATCTTGATAGACACAATTCTTTAGGTAGCGTCCAATTATTTCCTTTAGTAGTTCATACAACTAGTGTTCAAATCACCCAAAATCACTGTTACAAACTCAAATTAGTGAAAAGTTTATATATCTATATCTTCAAGAATAGCAGCAAGCTGCAGCCTTTATGTAAAACTAATTTTCTTGTAGAAAGTAAAATAAAATAATGAAAAAGGAATACCAGAGGAGGGGCAAGAGCAGTTGATACAATCAAATGAAAAGCTGGTGAGCAATCAGGGTCATCTCCAAAATCTCATTATATACTTCTTATTCTTCAGGTCGGGCCTCATCATCGGCATCACCCTGAGCTCCCACCTCAAAGACATTCCTCCAGTGCGGAAATGAATTTAATGTCATATGTGCCGACATGGATTTAATTTTATCAGTGGGTTAGCTTTTATTAAGCAGTTTTGTTAGATGAAAATGGACACATTCTTTGTACAAATATAGTTTATAACCAATTTGTCTATTTCTAGGATTTCAAAACTCAATTCCTAGGTTGCAGACCATATAAGAAAAGATGAAATGCACTTGTTTTAAATAAGTTTAAAAGGAACACACACAAAAAATAACAATAGAAATAAGAAAAACTTAATCAAAAAATCAATACCCAAAAACAAATCCATGTAAAATACTTTACTAATCAGTAATTCTAAATATTTATTTTCTTTGGTTGAAAAAGAAATAGTTGAACCTGTGCAAAATTTTGCCCATAATTATTTATTTATTTAATTATTTATTTTTGCCATGTATGTGTGTAAAATAAAATCACCCCAGCAACTCAAAAATGAAATGATTAAAGTAATCCTGAAATAAATCCCATTTATTAATTATTCTAGTATCTCAAATAATTGAGCTCACATTTAAAAGAAAAAAAACTTTATATTTGCCCAAAAAAAAACTGCATCATGGTGAAAAACTACAAGGCCACATATAATATTGCCACTCAACTTATGTAGAACAAAATAAACTAAGTGGACATTTAAAAAAAAAAAACTACAGGGATAGAGGTTAGTTTATTTAAAATAAACTAAGCTCTAGCTTCGTTAGAGCTTCATTCACAATTCGGATGGTCCACATGCCCTAGATATATAAAAAAAAGTGTTTACTGTTATTCAATCGAGAAAAAAAAAATTTGTTACCTGAATATAAACATATGTAACTGTTGGTATTTAGTCGAGCATATAAATAAAAGCTGCAAGTTGAACCCCCACATCCAACAAATCAAAATAATCTATTCAGATAAAAAAATAAAATAAATAAAAAAAAAACTCACCAGTCTCTTCTCTTAACAAAAAATCGCCAGCATCCAAAGACCCAAACGGCACTATAGAACGCATCGATGTGCAATGCTGACAGTTCCTCCTAGGCGCTTTAACTCCTATTACCGACTTGACAAAATGGGAAAAGTAAAGGATATTGCAAAGGATCGTCCCAAAATAGTACTATACGACATGAGGAAAAAACACCAGACACACTATGAATGCGTAAGTCCCGCCTATAAACTCTTTGATCCAAACGAGGCACAACACGAAGCACAATACGACCATCATCAAAATTTTTAAGAGTTTTAAGCCCTTGGAAGAACCTTGCGTAAGGATTATTTTCAAGGATTTTAATAACATGATCAACTATAACTTCATTGATTCTCAAGCAGACCGCAAGAAAATATGAAACTTCATGTTCCATGTCATGAAAATATAACTGTAGATTTTTATATGTTTCTAAATCGTCCATGAAATGATACATTTGCTCTTGAAATTTGAATGTATAGATGCCTCTGTTGCGTTTCTAAGTCTTTTTAATCATATTTAACACCCAAATAGGTGAATGCAAATTGGTTGTTTATTGTTCTGATGTATGTTCTAAATAGTTGGGCATTCGCTGATCGAGAAAACAGAAAATCCTATGAAATAGTAGGCAATGCATGGCTTGCTAGTTTATTTGTACCTTCGGAGCAGAAAAAATTTAGTGTTTCATACTGCAATCTCTTAGCACTGCAGTAGCGACAATCATGCTGGCCACGTAGAGTGGATGCAGTCAACGGTACGTACGTGCTGAAATAGATATCGGCCATCCCTTTGAGGTAGAAGATGAACAACCACAATGTTTTACAAAAGGCAAGATAAACCAATACCTGTGTATTGGCAGGTACCGCCTGACTGCCAGGTTCCGTCGAGAAAGGATTCCAAACAAATTGACTGTAGATATGTAAGCCAGCTATACAAAGCTATAGAAAGGGAGATAGGAGAACAAGCCCAACAATTGAACTACTTTATAAAGAAGAAACTAAATGCGAAACAAACTTGACCGACTGTTTGAAGGAACGTCTGCCGTAATAGTCATCACCTGCATAGCTGCACAAGCACAACACAAGTAGCCGCCAAATTCCAGATAAACTGCCAATCAACATATAAACCCAATAGTAAAAAAGTGAAGTGCAATGAAGTACATGGACTAATGTTTGTAATAACAACCGTTGTTATGGAAACAGATGCTGCAACCAAAGTCCTGTAAGTCAATGAATTCCGTAGATTCTGTTAAAAGTCATTAGACTTCAAGGACCCATCAAACAAGTAAAAATACCATCGGTCCATCATTTCAGTTTTACCATTTTTGTCATTGACAATACCATACTCAGAAATTTAAAACTGGACTCACAGAACCACTAATTTAGAAAAAGACCAAAAAACAAAAAAGAAAAGACAAAAGGCTACTACTGATTGAAAAAAAAAAAATCGACCAAAATGAATTTTCCTCTGGCATCAGTAGCAATAACAACCCTGCAAAGAAGTCATTGCCTACATGAATGATTCATGAACTTATCAAAGTTTTATATCCAACACAAACAAATGTGAAACAAAAAATTAGACTGAAATAAAGAACGATTATCTGAGCATCCTCAATCATCAACATATTGTTTTTGAGAAGATTAAGAAAGTATTTTCACTACAAAAACAACTCTTGCTGAAAAATAAAAAATCAACACACAATTAGATGAACAGTTATAACTCCACATAGTATTCAATACAGCATAATTTGTGCACCTCCAAAACTGTTGTAAGCCAAACTCAGCTTCTTCTTGTAACGAAGCTCTAAAGGGTTGTCGAGTTCTAGAGCCTGTCGGATTTTATCTCATTTTCATTGTTAAACTGTAGGTTGATCCTACGGCCGGTCACTGTGAGTTGTGGTGTTCTGAGAAGAAATAATTCAACTTTTATTTAAAAGATAAACAATTGATAGAGGTTAGAGAAAAGAAAAAGAGTAGGAGAGATTTATCACTGGCATCTTGAGTCTCGACGATGATCCATCATCGTACAACGACGCCAGCCGATCGGGTCATATCTCACCATTGATGACCACATTCCGTCAATAATCATTGCTTGAATCGCTGTCGTCGCCTTCAAGTTGTCCGCTCCCGTCAAACCGTGTAGCTATGCTATCATTCGGGTTCTACCCGCAGCCACGAACATCGCCACCGGGAGTGTGCAATTGTGGGTGCTAGCGCTTGTGGATGTGGTGGGAGAGCGATGAAGTCTTTCTCCTCTCTCGAAGCCTAATCGGCGGCCCAGCATCAGACATAATTTACAAATAAAAAAAAAAAAAAATAGCAAAAGTGTAATTTTTGAGGTGGGTTTCAAAGGGCCTACAGATCTGACCTGAGGTTTATCACAACGGCATGGTGGCTTTCCGCCGGCGGCTAGAGCTCTGCTCATCTATGGACGAAGTTGTTCTTGCAGTCGAAGCAGACGACGTCGGGGAGGTTCGATAAGATTTCAACAGCGACGCGGTTGAAGGGATTTCGGCCATGGAGAAGCGATTGATGAACATGGTCTCTTCAATCTCTTTTGGTGTAGCGTGCGAGGAAAATGGGAAAAGTGATGGGTACAGAGGTAGACGTGCAGAAGTCGTCCAAAAATCGAGTCAAATGGGAACAGTGATGGGTACAGAAGCAGACGTGCAGAAGTCAGCAAAAAATCGAGTAATAAAAGGCTTCCATGGAAAGCAGCTAAGCGAAAATTATAAAATAGTACATTAGGATATATTTAATTACTATATTGTCCCAAAAAAGTATTTCAAACCAAGTGCATTTTTGTCCCACAAAAAATAGGTACACGTACAGTCAAAGCAGTGGCATATCTGTAGAAAGAGTTCAAAGATAGGGGCATTTTGGTCCAAAAAAATCGCCACGTGTCAACACCACAACCCCTTACATTTTTGCTTATATGTAAGGGGGAGATATATATTTTTTTTTTTTTCGATACATCCAAATATTTAAGTCCACAAAATACATGTTCCTGTGAGGTCCCCATCACTATTCCGATTATAAAGTTTATGTCTGTTTATTAATGCTATGCAGCATAGAAAAATATCTTATATAGCAACTCCTATCCTCAACACGCGCATTCACTCCTATTTTCTACATTAGAAAGCTGAAAGTCTCTTTGCAATTGCACCATATCATATACAATGCATAAATCGAGCAATTCCTTACTTTTTCTAAGCTTATTAATAATCATCACCATTTTCTTCATACCATCTGCCCAGGCAGCAGCTCTACAGCCCAAGCCTCGGCTCCACCAAGATGAAGGTAAGACCATCTCCAACCGATAAACCAATTTTCAAACTCATTTTGAGTTTCCGTTTGCTGTCCGGTTGGAGTGATTCCACTGCATTTTTTAGGTTTTTGCGTTCGGTTGGAGTTGGTCTAATCTACTTACTGTTACTGTAGCAATTTAAAATTGAAATGATCATCTATTACTATTAATATATATTTTTTTTCTATATTTTGTATATATATTTTGGTTGGCAGTGAAGGCGTTGAAGGAGATTGGTCGCAGGCTGGGCCACGATGCGTGGACCCGCGCACTCGACCCCTGCAGCGAAGAATGGATGTCGAGTGCGGCCGTCGCTAGGAAAGGGATGGAGACTTTGCTCGCCTGCGACTGTACTTTCAACAACGGTTCGACTTGCTACATCGTTAGTATGTACGTATCTTTGATTCTATGTGTTGATCATCAAACTGTTATAGGTCTCGGCACCGGCACACATTTTTTAGTATTTTATTTTTGGTTCGCATATACTCTCCGCGTCGAGAAGGGATGAGCAAAGTCGAGCCGAACCGTGCAAATTCGGTGCAGTACTGGTTCGTTTTTTTTTAAATAAGAAATTTTCGGTTTGAATTTTGTTCGGGTGGAGAAAGTAGCACCACTCGTTCATTCCATGGCTGTAGGAGATAGTCCGTTGACTGAATAGTTAGTCAAACACTTGATGAAATGGTGGGTTGACTTGTCACACTCTTGATTTACTCATCCAGCTGTGCAGTTGCTGACTGAGGGTCCACGTGTCTGTCAGAGTCTTCTTATATTTTGATCTGTTTAATATAGATTTCATGTATGGAAAACGCGTCTAGTCTTGTCCTTTACCCTTTACTTTGTCTTTTTCTTCCACATGGGCCATAGCATTATAAATTGGCCTAGCAATTTTTTTTTTTTTTTTTTTTTAAAA